TTAGAGATCATCTACTCTACCTGTAGGGTTGGACCCCAAAGCTGAGTCTCAGAAAAACGGGGAGCAGGGGCAATTGCAGTAGGATGACTGGCGGGCAGCTTGTTCTACACAATTAGGCACGCCGCAGCAGGGTGACTTCCTCTTTCACGTCTTCTCATGGCAAAGGCTCAATCTCAAGTCAGGCTTCTCAGGAGAGAAGTAAGGAGGAAAACATGATGATGATGATGAAGGAGGAAATAAAAAGGAGAAGACGACGAGGATGATGCAGACAAGAGCAGCTGCTAGTCAGCAGAAGCAGGGCGAGTAGCAGCTCCCACCATTCAGGTGCTCACTTTACTTTCTTTAGTTCACACATTATCATATTTAATTCTCATTAAAAATCCCAATGAGGTAGGTTTTATTGGGACCCCCACATGTTAAAAAGAAACTGAGGCTGGTCCGGAACTTGCCCAACAGGTCCCCTCATTGGTCAAGGGTAGAGCTGGATTCAGCCCCAATCGGTGCACCCTCGGAGCCCAGTTCTGGGCGACAGAGAATGAGCTCGGTTGCCCTGTGTGGTGGCTGAGCCATGGCCTGGGAGGGCCAGAGAACAGGGCGGGCAATGGCTGTGAGTTGGGTGGCCTGTGCCCCCAGGGGGCCCAGCTCCCTGAGGCAGCTCTCAGGCAGGTGCAGTCTCAGGCTGGGTCAGCTGGTGGCCCGCCCTTTGGTCTTACCAGGGCGGGAGTGACCTCCAGCTGGGGTGACTGGCCAAACTATTGTTTGCAGCCTTGCAGGAAGCTGTTTGAAAGGGTCATTGAAAAATGATCTTTCTAAATCAAGCTGTACCAATATTTTTACTTCCTTCCATGCAATGCCACATTTCAAGGCATTAGATGGGCCTGTCTTTTCAAGCCTGGGAAACAACTCTGTGTGTGACTTAAGTTCAGAAAAACAAAGCATCCCACTCTCAAAGAACAGAGGGCCAGATGATGACATCCTTCTAAAAGCAAGGCCTTGCTCATGGGACCTAATGCATGCCTGGCAAAGACGCACATCTAAATCCTAAGTGCGTCTTCAGAGCACTGCCCCATGCCCTGATACTCACAGATTAGATCACCTGCTCACGGTACAAGCTTCTGAAACACAAAAGCAGGAGAGAGACTGAGATTGGTAGTTGCATAGTTTATAAATAGGTGACAAATCGCTGTTACCAGCCTAGGAATGGATCAATGTGGTGCTAGAGGAGAGGAGTCCAAGACCTCAATCGCCGTGTGTCCCCGAGCTCCTGCCTCGCCCACTGCACCTGAATTAAGACAAACAGTGAGGGGCCGGTGCCATGGCTCACTTGGTTAATCCTCCGCCTGCACCACCGGCATCCCATATGGGTACCAAGTTCTAGTCCTGATTGCTCCTCTTCCAGTCCAGCTCTCTGCTGTGGCCAGGGAGGGCAGTAGAGGATGGCCCAAGTGCTTGGGTCCTGCACCCACATGGGAGACCAGGAGGAAGCACCTGGCTCCTGGCTTCGGATCGGTGCAGCGCGTCAGCCGTAGCAGCCATTTAGGGAGTGAACCAAAGGAAGGAAGACCTTTCCCTGCCTCTCTCTCATTGTCTATCTGTCAAAAAAAGAAAAAGAAAAAGAAAAGAGAAAAAACAGTGAGAGGTGAAGCTGGAACCCTCTTGGTATGTGTTCACCTTTCACCCCTCCCAGAGGGTGAGTTCTGATGCTGAGTAGCACAAAGCATAAAGACCCCCAGACTCAGTAAGGACCTTTAGGGTACAGAAGTGGAGAAAATACTAGAAAACAGTACAAAGAGGCAAGCTTTCCTCCCTTCACTAGAGTCAGCCGGGAAGGAACCACAGAGGTCATTGCGCAGGTGAGGAAAGGGGCCGGACCGAGCGCCAACCTGGGAGCCTGGGAGGAGGACTCGGCTCTGCAACAATAAGGAGGACATGAGATCATGAGACAGGCAGGGAGAGGAAGAGAAGGAGAGAGAAAGAGGGCAAGAGCTAAGGCAGGGCTAACTTTTGGGGATCACTGAGTGCCAGACACAGCATTAAGTCCCGTACACGGGATGTCCCCTGAATCCCTCCAACACCTCCATGAACTGGGAATTAGAATGATCTCCATTTTATAGACAGAAACTGAAGCACACAGTGAGTAAGTCACACAAGGCAATCCAGTGGAGAGAAGGAGTCGGCCTCACCACGGAGCCCTCAGGGCCACACGCCTGGTTCCGCCCCAGCCAGAGCAAGCCCAGCCCTCACCCCTCTGTGTGAGCTTTTGCAAGCAGGGCCCACCGGTTGGCTGGGCTAAGTGGCCTCTCTACACTGCGCATTAGCACAGCTTGAAAGACAGCCAGTATTTTTGGCACCTGCCTTTTTTTTTTTACACTGAAACCTCTTAGCACAGGGGCTCCACATTTGCCAGCTTTGCCTGGTGCTTTTCTAAATTGAAGAGTAGAACTAACCGTGGTGAATACTAAGAAGATAAACCTTTTTTTTTTGGGGGGGGGGGTAAATTTTTAAAACATTCAAACACATACAAAGACCCTCACACACCTCACAAGGATCAGCTGTTTGCGTTTCGCCCCACCAGCCTTATTGGTGATGCATCTCTTCTCTCTCGCTCTGCTCAGTAGAAACACATCACTACTTTTTCTTTCCTGAGTCATCTGAGAACAAGTTACAAACCTCATGCCCCTTCCTTCCTAAACACATCAATGGACAGCTCCTAAGGACAAGGGCATTCTCTCACATGGTCACAAGCTAATGACCAACTTCAGGAACTGTTACCAGTGATGTAACACCTTTATCTAATCTGCCATCTGCACTCAACGTTGCATTTGCCCAGTGATGTCTTTCATAGCCTAACCCAGTAAGTTTGAATGGCTAAGTGCCCATTAAGAATTAATATAAGCAATTAAGAATTAATATGATGAGTGCTAAGGCATTTGGAGAGCCCTTTAGCTCCTGCACTCATTCGGTTCCCATCTTGCCTCTGAGGTCCAGCAGCATAATCCTTGTTTTACCCAACATGGAAATGAGACTGAGACATTAACAGAACACAGCTCTCCTTCCTTAACATCATTGCTTAGAGATCCTCCATCTGCTTGTTCACTCCCCAAATGCCTACAACAGCCAGTGCAAGGCCAGGCTGAAGCCAGGAGCCCAGAATTCCATCTAGGTCTCCCGTATGGATGGCAAGGACCCAGGTATGTGGGCCATCACTTACTGCTTCCCACGGTACCAGCAGGAAGGTGGAGTTAGAAGCAGAGCTGGGACTCGAACCCACAGACTTGATATGGGATGTGGACATCCCAGCAGCACCTTAACTCCTGCACCAAACATCCACTCCTGCCTGATACTTCTTTTTCAAAGACTTTATTTTAGTGTCAATTAGCAAACTGAACACTAATACAAAAAAAACTTTTTTTTAAAAAAAAGCGTTCTATTTATTTGAAAGTCAGAGAGAGACAGAAGGAGGGAGAGAGAGAAAGAGAGATTTTTCATCCGATGGTTCACTCCTCAAATGGCTGCAACAGCTGGAGCTGTGCCAATCCGAAGCCAAGAGCCAGGAGCTACTGCTGGGTCTCCCACACAAGGAGCTAGATAGGAACAACCAGGACACAAACCAGCCCCTATATGGGATGCAGGAATTACAGGTGGAGGCTCTACCCACTATGCCACAATGCCAGCCCCTAATCCAAACATTTTAAATTCCAAAAATAAACATCATTTAGGCACTTATCTCTCTAGTCACTTATGAGGGGACTTCAAAAATTACATGAAAAATGGAGTTAAAATATGTTTATTTTGGTGCAAAAAAATTTGAAATCCATGCATACACACAGTATTTTAAAAGTTCATGAAAAGGAGTGGGCATTTAGCCTAGCCTTTAAGATGTTGGTTAAGATGCTCTTGTCCCACACTGGAGAGCCAGGTTCAGTTCCTGGCTCCTGGCTCCTGACTCCAGCTTCCTGAAAATGTAGACCCTGGGAGGTAATAGCAATGCCTCAAGTAATTTGTAATAGACTGGTTTGAGTTCTCAGCTTTAGCCTGACCCAGACCCAGACATGGGGACTTCTGGGTCGTGAACCAACAGATGGAAGATCTCTCTCTTGCCACTCCCCTGAAAGTCCATGAAATCTGCACATGCCGAAAAACTGATACATAACTTTCTAAAATCTTTTCACCAAATCAGACTTACCCTTTAATTTCAATTTCCACAAACTTTACTAAGTACTCTCATGCTTTGATATTAGTATCACAGAGTCTAATTAACACCCGAGCTACCAAGGAGCGGCCTGCTATGCACTGGGAGGCCCATGGGGGCCGGGGCTCTTTGCCTGGACCAGCCTGCCTTGCAGAGCCCAACCACCTGCTCTCACAACTTGAGCCCACACGCAGCAAAGGCTTGATAAAACACAGAGAGCAAAGACACACTGGTCTTTTCCAGGGCACAGTGAAACACTGGTGTCAGGGGAGGAGGCAGTTTGCCAGTCCTCAGAAGTAGCCCATACATGACACAAACTTACGAACCTGTCCATTAAATAGAAAAGCACTGGTTTTAGAAACAGAACTACCAGGGTTTCAATTATGACACTCGCACTCAGTTCATTTGCCTTGGGCCCCTGACCTAACCTCACTAGGCCTCAGTTCCACCATCCATGCATGCCAACCATCACGCACAGTGAGCAGCGGTTAGTGAATGTACAAGCACAGAGCTCCGTCCACAGGAGGCCCCCAGCTCCCCATGCTTCGAAGCACAGGTGGCCTTCTCCAGGGTAGGGGTTGTCCCACCGCCAGCCAAGCATCTGCTCTTCGCAGAGCTGGTAAGGCTGAGTTTGAGAGCGTGCATAGAACAGGAGCAATGAAGGAGTTTTGAGTAAATGTCACTGCCTGTTAAGAACACAGAGTAACAGCCCACTTTTGCAGTAAATGCGACAGGAAGCTGAATTTTTCTGTGTGGGGCACTGTGCTCTCAGTTTGCGAATGTGGGGCAGGAAGAATAAAATACTTACCTTTTCCAGGGCTTCTTTGTCCAGTAGTTCTTGCACAGCCAGAAGCTTGATGCTGCGGAGAAAAGGAAAACCACACTTGAGGACCAACCATCTGATGTCTCTAAGCACCATCGCGGAAGTCACAAGAACCCACGTCTGAAATTTCAGCCTGCATTTCCACGCCACCTCCCATCTTAGGATGACCTTTTTGTTTCTATCAAAATGACCATTTCAAAAACACTAAAAATATTTCTGAAGTCTAAGTCATTTTACCAAATGACTCACTCTACATTTAGGTATAATCCCCAAAGAATTGAATGCAGGCACCTGATCAGACAGACACAAACCAGTTTTCAGGCAGCATTATTCCAAAGAGCCAAGAAGGGTGGCAATGACCCACATGTCTATGGATAGATGAATGGATAACAAGACAAGTGACACAGCCCATGGGATATATTATTACGCCTTAAAAGGAAGGACATTCTAGTTCATGCCGCAACACAGATGAACTTTAAAGACATTCTGCTCAATGAAATAAGCCAGTCACTAAAGACAAGCACGACATGATTCCACTTACATGAGCTCCCTGGAATAGGCTGATAAACACAGAAGGAAGAATGGTGCACCCCATGGCATGGGGTACAGGGGAACAGGGAGCTGTTGTTTAATGCTTACAGACGTTCAGTTTGAACAAAAGCTTCTAGAGCTGGATGGTGGTGATGGTTACACAATGTGAATGCCCCTGAACTGTATACTGAAAAATGGCGCAAGTGGAACATTTCATGTGATGATCTATTTCACCACAAAAAGTTCTAAAAGTGACTGATAGGTACTATGTTAAGGAATCTGAATGATTTCAGAGGAAAATAAAGAAGCAAACAGACACCCATGTTCAGTATCCATCTGCCCTTGGCATCCCTGTCAATTACGAGCAAACGACTCCTAAAATCTTCACTTATACCGACCACTGCTCCACTGCTCCTTTATTTAGCAAATGCTGATGGAGTCCTACTGTGTGCAAGAGGCCACGGGCACAAGATGACTGCCACACACTCCCTACTGCAAGGGGCTCACAGCCTCTTGGAAGCCACGGTTGGCCCAGGGCATGATGTGCAGTGTTCCTAGCAGACACACAGAGAGGCAGACAGGAACGCAGTCCAGCAGAGACTGGAGGAGGCTTTGGAGAGATGGGGTGAGCCTGGCCAGGGAAGGGGGTAAGGGAGGAAGGTGAACCCCAGAAGAATCATCACAGACCCCAAGGGGAGAGAGAGGACTCCCAGTATCTGGTTTAGGGGACTAAGTCTCAATGGTAACTGGCAACCAAGATGAGAGAATCTGGTGTGGACGCAGGCTGTAGGGGGGAGGTATTTTCCTGTCTTTGGCATGTTGCTTTTGAAGTGTTCCTGGAATAGGGAGTGGAGGCTGTAGTAGAAGCCAGGCTGGACTCAGAACCCAGGGGTAGGCAGAGCACTCTAAGAGATCGCTTAGGGGCCGGGTCAGCTGTTGGTGCCATGGTGCTCCCTTCCCGCTTGGGTGTCATGCTTCCGGCCACTGGTCACTGTCCTCCCTGCCCCCACCTACCTGGACACTCTGCAGGGCAGAGATGGACCCCACCTGTACCATCTGCTTCCCTTCACAAGCCACTTGAAACTTCACCTTAATTAACAGAATTCTTCACTCTCTCTGCAACTAAGCAAGTGCTGCCCAACCAAATGCACTGACTTATTTAAAAGCTACTCCAGGGAGTGCAATAAATGTTTTCAAAGCTTATAAGAAAGCTCCATCACCAGTAACAACAGCAATTTAGGAAGCATCATGGCTAATGGACAGGGCGGGTTCTGGGCACTCCCTCTGCTGCAGCTGCACTGGTTTTCCTTCTGTCTCCTGGACACGTTTGCTTTGGTTGCTTCTCTGGGTTGGGGTGATCCTCCCCAGGATCACTGTAACATTTCATCGCTTCATTCCAGATGAAATATGAATGTCACATCCTCCAAGCAGGCTTCCTGGCCATGTGAAGTAAAGCAGTACCCCTGTTCTACCAGTACATTAGAGCACTTATTTGTAGGGGCACTTTTGTCTGTCTCCTCCTAACAAGTGTGGAAGCTCCTGGAAGCTGAGGGCCCAGATATTTGAGCTCATAACTACACTTGCAATGTCTACAACTGACATAGAAAGCACCCAAAGTCACTGTCACAGCTCACACATTTCAGCTTGGATGTGTAAAACCGCAGGCCATTGCAGGCAAAAGTGCAAGGCCTCAAACAAGATGACTGGAGGGACTCCTCTTTGGCACATTTGTGTAACTGCCATTAATGAAACAGGCCTGGTGCTCAAAGCCACTGGGCACCATTCAGTACATTCTGATCTCCAAGGCACAAATTTGGATTCCAGGTTACCAACTGGGACAGCAACCTATCTGCTAAGTTAGGAGTATCCAGTAGGAGCTCAAGTTTCAGAAGCTTAAATTGCCTCTGAAATAACCACTGGAAAATATTTACCCTGGGAGCGCTTTTTAAATAGTCTCTCGTTCCTGCCCCTTCTAAGGTCATGAGGTCCAATTCAGTATCAGCTGTCAAATATCCACAGGTTAAAGAAAAGGTTTAAACATTGTTAAAGTAGCCAACTCTCTGTTTCTCTCTCTTCACAAAGATAACTGCTGTAGAACTCAAATTTCCACTTTTCAGGCTTTTAACAAAAATGAAACTAAAATACTTAAATTAACTCAAAATTCTTTGAGTAAAAACCCAAAGGATACCTACTCCTTGCTCTCCACACATTCCCTCTAGAACAGGGCTGGCAAACACTTGGCAGGCATATTACTACTGCCCAACCCCTTCTCCCAAGGAACTTGCCCCCACTGAACATAAATTCAGCTTCAGAATCCTTCTCAGCACTCTAGTAGACCCAGTCCATCTACTAAAAATGGAATGTGAGAGAAAAGAACTTTAACATATGTTCTTTTTTAAAACAAAATTTAAATTCTTTTCTTTTTATTTGAAGACATACATGGGGCGCAGAGGGGAACAGGAGGAGAGAGACACCTTGCATCTGCTGGTTCACTCCCCAAATGCCTGCAACAGCTCTAAAACCAATACCAAATAGTCTGGAGGTGGGGTAGGCATAATAAAAAGACCTTCACACTGCTACAACCCAGCAATACAGCTTTAGGGGCGGAGGAGAGAAAACAGAGGAGAAGGTAAGACACTAGAATCTATCCAGTTCAAGTTCCAAATGAGTGGCTCTGCTATGGCTGCTCATAGCACTGAGTTTCTTCTCCTGAGAGCCGCAGTCATCTAGCTGCCGTGAGAAGTTTTTTTTCTTTTTGACATGCAGAGTTAGACGGTAAGAGAGACTGAGAGAAAGGTCTTCCTTCCGTTGGTTCACCCCGCAAATGGCCGTTGCAGCCAGCGCGCTGCGCCGATCCGAAGCCAGGAGCCAGGAGCCAGGTGCTTCTTCCTGGTCTCCCATGCGGGTGCAGGGCCCAAGCACCTGGGCCATCCTCCACTGCACTCCCTGGCCACAGCAGAGAGCTGGACTGGAAGAGGGGCAACCGGGACAGAATCCGGCGCCCTGACTGGGACTAGAACCTGGGGTGCCGGTGCCACAGGCGGAGGATTAGCCTAGTGAGCCGCGGCGTCGGCCGAGAAGTTTCTTGCTATGCTCTGTAGGTATCAAGTTATTTCTAACCTTATTGGAAGCTCTTCTAGTGAGGGGTGTTCACTTCAGTAGGTACGATATCAGATTCTTCTAGAACATCAGATGCTCTGAGGGAGGAAATCTCACCCTCAGAAGCTACTGACCAAATCCTCGCTTGGTGCCATTTAACTCCACGCCCTGAAACAGCATCTGAGCTCTCATTTCCAGTTCTGCCCCTCCCTTCCTCCTGTCCTCAGCAAATTCCACAAACCTACTGAATACCTCCTGGGCTCTGGAAACTGTGCCTGGCACCCCGGGGACAAAGATGAACACAGGCCCTACCCTCAGAGAGCTCAGAGGAGCAAGGTCCTGTCTGGCCCATGCCAAGAGAGGGGCTGGGGCGCCTTCCCAGAGTCTCCCGGGCTCCCACGTGGCCCAAGGCAGTGGGCCGAACAGGATGTGTCCGCCCCTGATCTGGGGCTGGGCCAGCTTCCTCTGGACACTGCAGAGCACCCATCAGATGAACTAGAATAGCTTTTTCTGGACTCAGCTTTGTGACAAGAGGAACATCGCACAGAAGCAGCCGCAGGGCCAGTTCTACTCCGAGGCGTGTCACTGAGAACATCTAGAACGCACAGGCAGGCAAGGAGGCATCTCGCTGAGCCGAGCAGTGTCCAGCACCAGGAGGCCCTCAGTGGGATGAGACGGGTGATGGGCAAGTGCCAGAGACAGTGGGGGACAGTGGAGAGGGCAGCCGGCAGGCTGACGAGACAGGAGCTGGATGGTGCCCCCGCGGGGCTGTGGCCACAGGCGAAATGAACTTCAGTGTCCCCTACAAAGACACCTGGAAGGATAAACCCCCATCTAGAGACACTCACGCTTCTAGGATGGGTCATAACCTCAAGGAGAACAGAGTCAAGAACTCACTGTGGCCCTGTTTCTCTGAGGAGGCCGGCACTGCGTCTCCACTATTTGCTCAGCGACATGGTGTCATGCCTGAGACAGAGAGCTATGCCCTGAATATCAGACGAGTGTAACAGGAGGGCTCCACTTCGCCATTGCCTGGGTAAAATATTTACAGGTTACACACCACGTGCCAGGCACTATTAAGCGTGGAGGACACACTGATGAGCCAATGTGGCCTCTGCCTTAGGCATCCCAGTGTCGTGGGGGAACGAGGTCAGCCCATCAGCTGCCTGATGAGCACTCCCTCCGAGGGGAACACTGCATGCTACGTGGGCTGCTGGAAGGACACTCAGCAAAGCTGGCAGGCTCCCCAGGGAGTGACTTCTAACCTGGCACACATGGGCTTACAAGGTAACAGGACAGGCATGCTCCAGGAAGGTGGCAGGAAAAACATGGGCAATGGCAGGAGGGAGGGCAGGCAAGGCCCCCTTGGGTGTCTGTTGAGGTCAGGCTCAGGGCAATGGTGGGCAG